CGGCCCTGTGCACTCTCCCAGTGGGGCGCGCCTTTCTCAAACCACCACCCACCCCTCAGGCCTGAATATAAGTACCTTCTCCTCTCTGTCTTTCCCAATCACTGTATGAAGAGGCTGGTCTGGGTGCACCTGGGCCTTGGGGATAGTTTTGTTTCCCAGGTGATTCTATTGTGCAGCCAGAGTAAAAACTGCCGTGCCAGCCAGAAGCAACCTGCTTCTTTTTCTCCCCAACTCTTGTGCGTTTGGCTTTTCCCTCATCACATCGCAAGCTCCTTCCTCTACTTTCAAAGCTGGGCTCTGCCACTTGCTTGTTCTATGATCTGGGCAAGTTATTTAACCTCAGTATCTTTACCTATTAAATGACTGTGTTTATTAATCTCACAATTGGGGATGATAATCATTCTCAGTGTTATTCATCAAATCTAAGAAACTATTGATTACAAATGTACCACTACTACATACCATTAAGAAATTTAAATGCTGTCAAATAAACTCTCAGGCCATCGATTGTAAGATCCATTCCGATTTCAGGGATGTGAAAATTCAAGGGGAAAAGCTGTGACTTAGAATGAGTGAGTGCCTCGGAGTTGTTGTGAGGATGAAATGCATTGATACACATGAAGTCTTGGCAAAGTGCCTGGAAATAGTGAGGGCTCAACACCATCAGCCACTATTACCCCCCTCCACATTTTCACTCCTCACTGAATGCTTTAATGACTCTTCCCAGCCATTCTTCCAGCCCCTCTTCTCCCCAAAGGTTCTGGATTTATCCAAGCCGGTTGTCCTCCCCAGGAAAGTGACTTGGATAAGGATGACATGGACAGCCCTAAGGGTCCTAGGGAAGCCTCTCAGGTCCAGCCCTCCTCCATGGAGCATGGCCAGAAGCCTCCCTTTTTCTCCTTGAGAGTCAGTGTCTGAGCTCCAGCCACAGAGCAGCCTGACAGTAGCCCCACCCTCCACCCTCCACCCCACAGCCCACCCACACTCCCTCTGTTCCCTGTTTGGAGACGGAGGGGCACTGGAAGGCCTGGCTGCTGACCTGGCCTTGGGTGTGAGCTTCAGGCTGCTTGATTATTAAAGTGAGGCTGTTAATCCCTCCTCTGGGCAGTCAGGAAAGATCAACAAAGCATCATGATGTACACTTTAAATAGCTTACCATTTTATGTCAACGATCTATAACAATAAAAGCATAATATGCAAATCAACCAAACAGCCAAACAGCTGAACGACTATCCAGATGTCCTTGAAGACGACCTTCCAGATGAAGCCAGGGCTGCGAGGGCTGAGGCAGCCAGGCCTGCAAAGGCCTACTCTTGTAGGAATTTCATGCATAGGGGCTCTAGTATCTCAATAAATCTAAAATTAAGAACAGAAATATCAATCAAAGTATTTGAAATTGGGCAGATTCCAATCAGAAGGGGCACTGGGGATACCTTATAACATTGTTTTTTAATGCAAGTGCTTTAGCCCATTTGCATCAGAATCATCAGGGCACATTTGCTAGATGCAAATTCCTGGGTCCCTCTCCTGACCTCCTAAATAAACCTCTGGAGTGGGACCTGCCTTGAAATCTGCATGGCGGGGGAGGGGAGGGGGTTAATCCTCACCTGAGGATATTTTTCCATTGGTTTTTAGGGAGAGTAGAAGAGAAAGGGAAAGAAGAAAAACATTGATGTGAGAGAAACGCATTGATTGTTTGCCTCCTGCACAAGCCCTGACCAGGGCCCAGGCCCTGGGGGAGCCTGCAACCAAGGTACCTGCCCTTGACTGGAATCGAACCCGGGACCCTTTGGTCCACAGGCTGACGCTCTATCCAAACAGGCTAGGGCAGAATCTGCTTTTTAATCATACATTCCAGTTACTTGGAACAGCCCTGGTTTTTACATGCTGTTCAGGGGTAATTATTAGTAGTGTCTTTTTACTCTCAAAAGTACCCTGGATTGGACTGTCAATTATATTTCTCCTCCTCAGAGCTGATACTACAGAACGAACAGGACAAGGTGCCTGAGGTGGTAAGCCAAGACTTCCCGTCTTCTAGCACAGTGGGAAGGGCTCCAGGGTCAGCTCAGCCACTTACAAACTATAACATGGGCAAGTACCCTCAACTCCCTTGGCCCATGTCCTGGCCTACATTGTTGGGCTGATGATGCTTCCCTCACAGGGTGGCTGGAGGGATTTGATGTGTCCAGCATCTGGCAAAGAGGCTCCACCTAGAGCCACCGAAACAGATCAGAGCTGGCCTCCCCATCTCAATTCCAGATTCCTTGAGCTGAACTCTGGAGGCCCTGTCACTAGGGCCCCATTTGCGAAGGCGGCACCAGACAGGCTGTGCAAATGAGCTTCACAGCTTTTGTCGAAGTAGCACAATAAAGCCCCCAAGTGTCTGCTCTTTGCAAAGTGGGATGGCAGATCAATTGTGGCATAAACAAAATAGCAGGCTTGGTGCAAACCGGGGACAGATTACGCCTCTGCAGGGTGTGATTGGGGAAGGAGGGGTTCTCGGGGTGGCTGGGTTTGTCTTTTCTCTGCCTGAAGCTTCAAGGCCCCTCTCCAAAGTCAGCCTGGCTCCCACAGATTGTCAGAGCTGGGGGGACCACTCCTCCACTCTGGGAAGCGGCAGCCCAGGCAGAGACCCCACTGGCCTCAGCAGGAAGCCTGACTCCAGGGCCTCAGCTTCCCCAGAGCTCAGACCTCAGGAATTGGGTCAGTGAGAGGGACATTTGCTTTGGGTGCCCTCTGTGTTGTCAGAGAACCTTGTGACCTGCCTGTCCACTTCTGGGCAGACAGTGCCACAATCACAGCCAATCAAGCATTTGAGATCATTTTAGGCCTGCAGTCACGGCCATGAGGAGACCCCAGGACAAATTCTGGCCCAGGTTCTCTGTTGGGGCAGCAGGGAAAAGTTGTGCCCTGGCTCAGGGATGAGCTGCTGGCAGCAGAGGGGTGAGCATCTGTACAAAACCTCTAAGAAGGCAACCCAGAGACTCTGTGAGGGTAGGGACTGCATCTGTCTGGTTTTCCACCATATCCCTGAGCCTAGTATGAGGCCTGCCAAACTATGTCACCAGTACATGTCTGCTGAGGAATGAATGAATGGGTGGTGGTTGATCTTCCAGCTGCATATCTGGTGGTGCTGCCTTGTAGAGGCCCTACCTCGGTAGAGAAGGAGAACTGGGGGGCTGAGAAACAGGTCTCATTCTGGTTCTATCATTCAGGGACATCCAGGAGGACAGATGCTCATGCAGTACTGGTTGATGTGATAACCAAGCTGGCTACTTAAGTGACTAATGGGCTGGAAGCATACAGAGTGGATGTGCTGGATAAAGGGAGGATTCACGTCCTAGGCAGGATGCCATGAAATTGTACCACATTACTCAGAACGGCGGATAATTTAAAACTTATGGATTTTTTATTTGTGGAATTTTCCATTTAATATTTTCAGACCATGGTTGACCATGGGTAACTGAAACCGTTGAAAGCAAACCTGCACATAAGAAGTAAATCAGGTGATTTTTTTTTTCTAATGAACTTAAGAACTTGAATTTGACTTTAAAGAGAAGCAAAATTCCTCTATCAAATTCCTGGTTACATTGCTAATTTGGTTTTTCATTCTCTTGTGGCCAAATTCTAAATCTAGGGATATAATCCATCTTCCTCGACGTGAGGGTCATGATCATAAGATTTCTCCTAACTTGAGTCATTAGGCATAAGATCAAGACCACGGTCAGGCAAGTGGGCATTTCCTCCAAGGAATCTAGAGAATGATTAACACACAGGCTTAAGGAATTACTCTGAAAAAATATTTTCTCAGACCCTTTTAAGGAGATAGTAAGCCCAGGGAGACAAAACTCTACACACACACCCCACACACACACTTCCTGGGGCTGGCCCCACCCCACTAGCAGCACCGGTAGCCCTCCTGACACTGGGTATGAATTAACTTCTGACCTCTGCGGCAGAGGTGTTGACGGGTGCCATAGTGCTACTCAGACAGATGATTCATTTTCAGCTCAGACTCCAAGCAGCAGCGACTCTTCCTACAAAGAGATGAAACCCCCTCCTGTAACCAGAGTCAGGCAACCATGCGTCCCACCAAGAGACTACAGCCAGCAGCAGGCTGAGAGCTCAGGTTGGAGGCGCAGAGCTGCCACTCTGTGCTGCCCTGCATGGCATGAGCAGAGCCTTCTGCAGAGATCAATTGATAAAGAATCTCCTTTACAGACTGTGCTTTGAATAAGTGGGTAAGTTAAGACTTAATTATAAGAGTTCAAAGCAAATAAGCAGCTGCCCAGGCACAGAACAGAACTGCCAAGACAAAAGCGACCCCAGACACACACAGCACAGGCCGGCATTGGACCCAAACCTTTCCCTTGGTGAGGTGAGCAAGGATGACGTGGTCCTGGGGTGAGAAGAAGCTGATGCTCAATGGCAGCCATGTTTACTCTCTGACTATTGTGGCCTCCTCCTCAAAGAATCCTTTGTCAGTTTCATAAACCCCTTTTCAGAGACCATCAAATATAGCTACCGGGACTGAACACACTCTACCTGGTCCCCAGAAATCCCGTATGAAATGAAGCCTTTATGGCATTCTCTCCTAACAAGGCCCAGGTGTGCCACTGTTACATTAAAAAATCCGATTGGAGGGGTGGAAGAGCAGGTGACACTTGCTTTGCGGCATCTCAGTGGTTTGCATCTGTGCAGTGGTTTCTGTTGTGTCCTGATGGGTCCTTCCTAGTGACCACCTTGCCTCACCCATTTTGGTTTATAGATCCCCAACAGGAGGGGCCATGTCTCCTCCAACAGTTTCTGGGCTGCCAAGATCAGAAACAATGTCTCGTGCCACTAAGGGAGAGAAATGTCTGAACACTGATTCCCCTCCACCCGAGGGATACCACTCCAGACAGGAGCCATGTCATCGCCTGCATGCACACAGCGCCCACCCCCTAGCTAGGGCCTCCTGCCCAGCCGGGACCTCCCTGACCCTTGCCCTGTCTCCACAGGTTTCGGCATGACCACCCCCGCCACGGTGGGTGGGAAGGCCTTCCTCATCGCCTATGGGCTGTTTGGCTGCGCTGGGACCATCCTGTTCTTCAACCTCTTCCTGGAGCGCATCATCTCGCTGCTGGCCTTCATCATGCGCGCCTGCCGGGAGCACCAGCTGCGCCGCAGCGGCTTGCTGCCCGCCACCTTCGGCCGCGGCTCTGCGCTCTCGGAGGCCGACTGCTTGGCGGGCTGGAAGCCCTCGGTGTACCACGTGCTGCTGATTCTGGGCCTGTTCGCCGTGCTGCTGTCCTGCTGCGCCTCGGCCATGTACACCAGCGTGGAGGGCTGGGACTACGTGGACTCGCTCTACTTCTGCTTCGTCACCTTCAGCACCATCGGCTTCGGGGACCTGGTGAGCAGCCAGCACGCCGCCTACCGGAACCAGGGGCTGTACCGCCTGGGGAACTTCCTCTTCATCCTGCTCGGCGTGTGCTGCATCTACTCGCTCTTCAATGTCATCTCCATCCTCATCAAGCAGGTGCTCAACTGGATGCTGCGCAAGCTGAGCTGCCGCTGCTGCGCGCGCTGCTGCCCGGCGCCGGGCGCGCCCCTGGCCCGGCGCAACGCCATCACCCCGGGCTCCCGGCTGCGCCGCCGCCTGACTGCGCTCGGCGTCGACCCCGGGACCTGCGACAGCGACGCCGAGGGCCGCCGCCTATCGGGCGAGCTCATCTCCATGCGCGACCTCACCGCCTCCAACAAGGTATCGCTGGCGCTGCTGCAGAAGCAGCTGTCGGAGACGGCCAACGGCTACCCGCGCAGCGTGTGCGTCAACACGCGCCAGAACGGCTTCTCGGGCGGCGTGGGCGCGCTGGGCATCATGAACAACCGCCTGGCCGAGACCAGCGCCTCCAGGTAGACCGCCCGCCCGCCCTCCCGCCCGTCCGCCCGTCTGCCCGCCCGTCTGCGCGCCTCGCCGCGTGTGCCAGGGACCCCCTCCAGGCTGGGGTGCCACCAGGCGTGGCTTGCTTTCCTTCTCTCAGACGCTGGCGCTTTCTTAATCTTTATCCAATAAAATGAAACCAAAAAAAATTTTTTTAAAAAAGAAATACTATTTGGACGGGCCTGATGTTATCAGGGGCAGGTTTTTGGATAACCTGTTTTCCTTGTGGGTCCCCTCTTGGAGAACCGTGGCCCCAGCAGATTCTCCTCCAGGGAGAGAAAAAGTGGCACCCAGACCCTCACGCGATGCATACCGCAGCCAGGAGAGTGCCAGTCCTGGGTTGTGCAGACTGGCATTCAACCCGGTCCCCATGCGCATAAGCAGCCAGCAACCCCAAAACATATGGTGCAACTTTACATGGCTCAGAGTTACCTCCGCAGCATTTAGAATCCTGGCCCACCCCAGCAGCTTCCTTCTGGTCGTTAGAAGTGATATAGTCACAGTTTTGACAGATGGGGGTGGGGAGAGCCATCTGTTACCTCCTGGCGTGTATATATAGCACAGCCGCTACACACAAGTGGTGTAGTATTACGCAATGAGATGAAACACGCACCAACTCGGGGACTGTGGCGTTTCCGAGATTTGGAAATGGCAATGGTAAGGGGCTTGCTTAGCTGGCCTTTCTCAGCCTGTATTTCTCTTAGCACAGTACCCAGGGCAGCTACTTGTAATGAAGGAAATCAGGGTGGCCTGCGGGAGGGGAGCTCTGGGCTGCAGGAGCCCCGCTCTGCGTCAGCTGCCTGATCTCAGAGGCTCCAGGCGTATCTCTGAACCCCGCAACCCTCCTTTCTCTCCCCAGCACCACCCACCAGGTCGCTGCTCATCATTAACTAGGAATGTGCGTCTTTTCAGACAAGGTTCTGCTTTGTTAGTGTGGGTTCTTTTTCCTTCTTAACTCGATCAGTTCAACATTTTTCTCTTTTAGAGAGAGCCTGAGGGTGCAGAGCACAGCCCCAGCCCACCCTCCTTCTCTGAATAGGGCTCTGCCAGCTGCACCCTGGGGGCACCAGGAACCCAACGCAGCCATTTTACACATGTCAGAGAATTGGGCTTCAGAGCCCATAATGTTTTGGGGGCACATCCCATTCTAAACCCTTTTTGGCCCCCACAGATAATCAAGTGAATGTGTTTCCTCCACAGAGTATGTACTGGAGGTGGAGGAAGCCGGGAGGGAGGCAGCTGGGGAACAGGAAGATGGAATCAGTTTTAGGATCCCAGTTTTGCTCTGGATGATCCTCAAGCTGAGGGACAGGTTCTCCCAGACGCCCCCCCTGCCACCCGGGGGTCACTGACCTGGAGGAGGGCCAGATCCCCCCCCCCCCACTTTATTGAAAGGAAGGGGGTCTTGGACTATGAAGGAACAAAACTTTCAGCTCCTTTTTCTCATCGGGAAAGATGATGATCCCAAGGACAAATGCCAGAGTATAGTCAGACATGGTATGACCCAACAGCATATATATATACAGCTTCTGACAGGAAGTCTTAGAAAGCACCAGACGCCTCACACCACCGTCTGCCCGAGAGGCACTGAAAGCTGCGAAACCTCCCTCCCTGGCAGTGAGGAAAGCATATGTGTCTGGAACATACACACACACACACACACACACATGCATGCACACACACTATTAAGAGTCACACTTGAATGTCAGCCTCCCCTTTTCCCTTCTAGTTCATGGCAGAAGGGGAAAAAAATGACTCTCCAGCTACTTTGGGTAATTTCTAATTTGGGCTGAAATAGGTTTTTAAACACAAGCCCTAAATGGGGATGAAGCCAAGGAGGCAGAGTGGCCAGGAGAGAGGCCAGTGTTGCTAAATCCTGAAGGGTGGGCTTCCGGAGAGCCATGCTTCCAGGATCCCTGTGACTGTCAGGCAAGTTCCTGAGCATCCCCCTCCACACCCGCCGGAATCTGAGTAACGGCTGTGGTCACACTGAAGGGACTGCACACCAGGCACATGTTCTCTAGGGCAGGGCCCTCTCACAGGGCCTAGAAATAAAGTGTCAGATTCATCCCTTTAAAAGAAGGAAAGATTAAAAGGCATCCAATTAGACGTGTCACCTAGGCAACGAGAAATAACTTGGGGATCAGAGCCATCCAGAGGGGGAAGTAGAGTTCGCCATGACAGGCATCTAGATCGTGAGGTCTTAATAGCTGGCAAATAGCAGCCAGCCTAGAGGGAGTGAGCCCCGGGACAGCAGGAAGGCCTAAGACCCAGCTGGCAAGGCTCTTTGAGGCAGACAGGCCAAAGAGGTGTCCAGGTGGTCCCAGTGACCACACGCATGACTGCGCAGGATCCCATCCCACAGAAGGGAACAGGACCTGCCTCCAGAAAAGAACAACTCAGAAGCCCCTTTGGCAGTCTTCTCCGTCAGCAGTGCTTCCTGAAGTCTGCCCTAAGATGCGCATGCCTCTGCCTTCTGTGTTCACTTCTTTTCCTACTTTGCCTTTGAAAGGAGGCCATTGTGGGAGCTTGGGCAAGCTTCTGAAGGAACTGTAGGTGTGAGGGGCCGGGAGTAACCCTTCCCTCTAAGCCACCTCCAGAGGAACACCAGTCCGCCAACATCCAGGGCAGCTCAGGCTCCAGCGGCACGTGTGTGTTTGTGCCCATGTTCTTCTGGCCCCTCCCCCATCTCAGTACATCATTGTGGGTCACCTCAGGCCAAAAGGCTCCCCAGATGCCAGGAAATGCTTCCTGGGAAAAGCCGGGCTCCCAAGTTCAGGGGGATTATTGGAGCTTAGACCACACCCAAAGGGGCTGTTTGACACCCTGCTTAGGGTGGGCACTGAGAACCAGAGTCCTTGCCAAGCAGGAGTGGGGCCTCCCCATCATTCCAGGAACAGTGGCATTGACAGGGACCCCCTTCTTTGGTGCAGGTTCTTCAGAACCTCAGGGTAAGAGAGCGCTCCATTTTCATAGATGCTGTGGCCTCTCCCACCATGTGGGGTCTCCAGTTTGACCCACAGCTGTCTGCTCACTGCAGTCTACAACTCCCCCAGGCACCAGGAGTCACTTCCTAACCTTAGGCCCACACTCACCCCCTCCAATGCTGGGATGCTGGGGCTGAGGGGCAAAGATGGCATGAGCTTTTAAGGTGCCCTTGCCACCCGCTGTGGCTACTCAGAGGGTCTTGGCGAATAGCCGGGTCTTCTGACCCCAGACGGCTCACCCATGGGGCCCTTGCTTGCTAATCAGGCCGGGAAGTCAGGCCCCTATGTCCTCTGACTGAAGCCAGAGCCTCCTGGCCTGGAAAAGGAGGCAGACATCTCGAGCAGTCTCAGGCCCTCAGCTTGTGGACAATGCCTGACAGTCCTGAGCACTTGCCCAGGAGCCTCACACATCACAGTAACACACACACACACACACACACACACACACACACACACACACATACCAGCCTTACAAAGAGCGGCTAGCTAGCTCCATTCCCCCAAGGAAAAATCCTATTCTGTGTCACTTTAAGAAGAAAGATTTCCCATTTTTAACTCCCCGGAGATCTAGAGCCTGGAAAATTCTTCTCTGCCTGGGGGTGTTACACGCACACGTTGCATGAATGTGTATTTTACACAGAAGCCAGCACCCAAACCCAAGTCAAGCCCTGGCAAATAGCTGCTGAATTCACCCAGGCTCCTGCATTCCTCAGTCAGGCCTCCTGGCAGGGGCCCTCTTCCTGTGTGCTGTGGGGTGAGGGGGACTGAGTTCTCATGGCCAAAGGAGCCCCGAGGTTCTGGTGAACCGAGGCTGAGGGCAGCCCACAGAGAGCTGTGGGCCAGGTGGCTTCATCTTACTGTAACTTTTTACATTCTTTTTAAAAAGCACAATTCCACATGCACACTGTCTGGAAAGCACATCCAGACAGATTGCTTAGGGCACTGCTGAGTCCAGAAGAGGCCACCGGGGCCTCTTTGTTGCAGTGGTTATATAACACGCTCGCTCCATTCCCTGGGGTGGGGAGGGCTGGAGAGCTGCTGGACCCAGCGTGGACTCTGGACTCGGGCCTGGACTCTTGCCCCTGGAGCAGCTTGGCACACACCTTCAGGCTCGCGCAGCATCTCGGCCCGCCCAGCCGGCCTCATTATGCATTGAGGAGCTATGAGATTTCTGCACTAACCTGACCCAAGCCCTCTTCCCCTTTCTTCTAGCCTCTTTCCCTCCCCCTCCTCCTTAGGGAAGCTCCCCTGGCTTTACAAATTATTTTCTATGCTTCATGTTCTCTCAGGAGGGGTGGGTAGAGCATGCGGGGCAGGCCTGCAGGGTTTCTTAAACAATACATTTATTTTTCTGAGCAGCACTCCAAGAGAGGGCTTGAAGGGTATCTGAATTACCGATGAATAAAATGTAGCCTGCCACCCCTTGAGCTGTTTGCTTTCTGTCTGTCAGAGCCACCTGCCTCTCTCTCCCTACTCACACCTCCTCTCTGGGCCCCCAGGGGACTTCTGTTTGGAGGGTTGGGCTTGGGTGGCAGCTCCCAGAGGGGTTGGTGGGGGCAACAATGAACCTTGCAGGCAGTTTGGGCAGATGGCCAGTATCTGATAGCCAGGGCCAGAAAGAAAGCAGGGGTGCCCAGGAAACGAGCTGGGGGAGTTGGAGGATGTGGCCCTGGTTTCCAGCTCTGGCTGTGCACTGGTCTTTCCCAAGGCAGCTTTAAAGATACTGATGACCAGGCTCCTCCCACCCCCTCCACCCCCTGACCCCCGAGATTCTGATTTCAATGGCGTGAGGAGGAGCACAGGCAGGCACTGGAATTTGGGGGAAGCTGCCATGGTGATTCCAATGGTCAACCAAGGTCTTGAACCTACACTTTCACACAGAGCACTCACTGGTGTGGAAAGAGCACTCATGTAGGAGTTCAGAGGTCTGATTTCTAGTCCTGTGCCTGGCAGTCACGGTGCTTGCTCAGATCTGCAGTGTTCCCCACCTCCCAAGAGCCTTATGAAAAGTAAATGAGTGGCTGGAAACTC